ATCGTTTTGCAAATGATCAATATGGTGAGGGCGCTGGCTTCGAGGCTATAGTAGGAAAGCCGTATGCGCATGTCACTTCACTTGGACGATCTCTTTCTGTCGTAGCATCTGGAGGTGAGAGGTTGTACGAGGTTTACGCACAAGAACATAATCCGTCGATTTTCTTACCGGAAAGGTAGCATCGGACGTCAGGTACGGAATAAAACGACGCACGAAATACGGGCGAAATGTGTTGTGATAACAGTTTCTCTGAAATGTTATTTTTCTCGGTGAATTACAATATTAAAAAATGGGCGCGTGGTTGATCGTTATATTCGCCGGCTGTTCAAATACGGACCACATGCTGATTTTCGTTGAAATCGTTCGTCATATCTTTCGGAGAAAACGCGTCGAATCTCGCGATTGATTGTTTGATCGTACGAAACAATTCACGCGAATAAACGAATAACTAGTTGAATGTGATTTTTAAATTAAAAAATTAGAAAAACTCAAATAACCGGATGCAGTATGGCGGTCGCTTGTCAGGACTGGAGTTACGGTCACGAGTTCGAGCATTGCTGGAATTCCGTTCGTGATGTAAAATCTTTTCTAGTTCAGGAATTTCTAAAAGCACCAATGAAAGTAATTTTACATGTATGATCGAAAAGGAGCTGTAATTGTGGCTTCAACATTTCTCTAAGTACGGTATCCAGATACGTGATGCGTATACTGGAAATCGTGTGCAATGACGACATTGTGGGACGACTCTTCGCCAACAATGGAGTTTGCTTGCTGATTTCCAGTGTGGTGGATCGTTAAATCAGTCAATTTTCTTTACTGTTGCAAAGTTCATAGCTGTGTCAAAGTGATAATAAGTGGAAATTATATTGTGCGAAACTTGGTAATTGAACAGTATATCTGTATCAATTTATCGTACAGTAATTGCATAATATACAATTTTGTAACGCGTTTTTTTATACATAATTTTCCAAATTGTAAATATTTCTAACCTTCTGTATATGATTAATTAATATTAATTTTGTTTTCGACACGATTAAATGCTTTTGAAGTTACCTTATTGATACTGTAAAGCAGTTGTTCACGTGTAATTAAAATATATATTACTTTTAACGGAAATTTTCAAATAATTAGTAAAGTTTAAATATATATAACATAGTACAGCTTTTCTCATTGGGAATTATTGAAAGTAATAAGTAGCATTGTGCAACGCCAAGCGTCAAGCAATTCTGGCAACGTTGCAGCTCTTCTCATCACGTACAAAATGGCTGCCAGTTCCGTTCTCGAATATTCAGATACCGCCACGTGGACGTTAATACGGACACCTGCTGCTTTCTCGATAGAGAAAAAAAAAACAAAAATCGCCAAACTGTATATTGTTAACAAAAATTAATATTTTTAAATGAAATTTTAAACAATCGAGAAAATTTTTAATCGTAAAATAAATTTGAAATTTGTTCGCACGCATTGTATAGATGTGATCTTTAATTTAGGATGATTTTTCGTTTACAGACAATAAAATTAATTTTGGTATTTAATTGTTTTAATGATTTTCTGATATGTTTTGTTTCAGAGTTAACCAGTAAGGTTTTACGAAAACTCCATAATGGGTAAAGAGAAGATTCATATTAACATTGTCGTCATTGGACATGTCGATTCTGGAAAGTCAACCACCACTGGTCATTTGATCTACAAATGCGGTGGTATCGACAAACGTACCATTGAAAAATTCGAGAAGGAAGCCCAGGAAGTAAGTAATTAATGCATATAGCGATATTCAGAAGGAAACAAAGATTATATTAATTACAATTACTTCTAAAAATTTAGCAAAGCCTTGTCACTGGTAATTTGTTTCCTTAGTACAGTGATAATTAGATATTGCTTTCTAAACAAAACAGCTGGTTACTTGTTACATTTTTTAAATGTAAAGCATTATGAAATTTTAGATGGGCAAAGGTTCCTTTAAATATGCCTGGGTATTGGATAAACTGAAGGCTGAACGTGAACGTGGTATCACTATTGATATTGCTCTGTGGAAATTCGAAACTTCCAAGTACTATGTTACTATTATTGATGCTCCTGGACATAGAGATTTCATCAAGAACATGATTACCGGTACTTCTCAAGCTGACTGTGCCGTATTGATCGTTGCTGCTGGTACTGGTGAATTTGAAGCTGGTATTTCAAAGAATGGACAAACCCGTGAGCATGCTCTGCTTGCTTTTACTCTTGGTGTGAAACAACTGATTGTTGGTGTTAATAAGATGGACTCCACTGAGCCACCATACTCTGAAACTCGATTTGAGGAAATTAAGAAAGAAGTATCATCTTACATTAAGAAGATTGGATACAATCCTGTTGCGGTAGCATTTGTGCCAATTTCTGGCTGGCACGGAGATAATATGTTGGAGGTTTCTGCAAAAATGCCTTGGTTCAAGGGATGGACTGTCGAACGCAAGGAAGGCAAAGTTGAAGGAAAATGCCTCATTGAAGCTCTTGATGCCATTCTTCCACCTACTAGGCCTACAGACAAGGCTCTTCGTCTTCCCCTTCAGGCAAGTCTCCAATCGAATTTCATAGCTGAATTTTTATTCGTTTTACATGATGATAACATTATTCGCTCATTCGCGGTTTCCACCGGAGAATTTTCTAATTTGATGACGGTTAGAGACGTCTGACTAAATCTAATCTTTCAAAAATTATTCCTGTCTTGAAAGGCGGCATATGGTAATATTATTAAATATGATTGTAGGATGTATACAAAATTGGTGGTATCGGAACAGTACCAGTTGGTCGTGTTGAAACTGGTGTGTTGAAACCAGGTATGGTTGTCACATTCGCTCCTGCTGGTTTGACCACTGAAGTTAAGTCCGTCGAAATGCATCACGAAGCTTTGCAAGAGGCTGTTCCTGGTGATAATGTCGGTTTTAACGTAAAGAACGTGTCCGTCAAGGAATTGCGTCGTGGCTATGTTGCTGGTGACTCGAAGAACAATCCACCTAAAGGAGCTGCTGATTTTACTGCACAGGTATATATTTGATAATACGCTAAAAACTAGAAACCAGCTTGGGCAAATTATTATCGATTAATTTGCACGATGATGAGAACTTATTAACTTCATTCGCGGTTTCCACCGGAAAGTCTTTTAAGGCTTATTGACGGCCGAAGGCGACTGAGTGCAATTTGTTAAATACTTTTTATGTGAATACTTACATCTATTCACCTATTTTATACCTACTTATATCTTAATTCTAAACAAAATTAATTATGTTTCATATGACTGTTTTAGGTTATTGTGTTGAACCACCCTGGTCAAATCAGCAATGGATATACACCAGTGTTGGATTGTCACACTGCACATATTGCGTGTAAATTCGCTGATATCAAAGAAAAGTGTGACCGTCGTAATGGAAAGACCACAGAAGAAAATCCTAAAGCTATCAAGTCTGGAGATGCTGCCATTGTTATGCTCGTACCAAGCAAGCCTATGTGCGTTGAGGCTTTCCAAGAATTCCCGCCTCTGGGGCGTTTTGCTGTTCGTGACATGCGTCAAACGGTAGCCGTCGGTGTTATCAAGGCTGTCACTTTCAAAGACGCTACTGGCAAGGTCACCAAGGCTGCCGAGAAGGCCCAGAAAAAGAAATAACTAGTTTCCGTACATGTGTATCGCCAGATGGGCTTGGGCGTATAGTAGCTGATATAGTTTGCTTCCTTTCTTCACGTTCCTCGCATAAGAATAACGTCGTTACGTTGTCGCCATTGGAGACTGCAATATTTTCTACGAAATCGCGACCGATAATTAGAGATAATAGAATCGATAAAGAATCGCGACGACTAGCATTTTTTGTGCATGTAATTGCATACTCGCCACATTTTTTTGATATTCGTGTATTCCATTTATCAAAATGGTTACTTCGTCACTTTTCTCATCGCAAAGAATTTCGTAGGAAAGGTAAGCCAACAATGGTTTGCAAGCGGATGTTTTTCTCGCCTGTGAGTTCCATGAGAAAAGAAAGTAAACTATAAAAAGTTACTTATTACCTAGTCAGGTAACTGGGAAGTGATAGCAAATAGGTCACATTTTCCAATCAAATTTGGATTGAAATTACCAGCTGGTTTTACGATTACGATTTGTTTCCGAATTGCTTTGTAAAATTCCATTGAAGAAACTTAGAAATTTTTAAAGCTTTTAACTGAGTCGCGGTGCATCGATACAAAATAATCGAACAGTGACTGAAAGGAAAATGATAATTTTATTACGAATTTGAATGGGTTATGAAATCTGTTTTTCTATTACTTTCAAATTGCCTGGCTATAGGTAAGGAATTGAACTATAAAAATATATATACACAAAACACTTTTCTATGATATACGTCTTTACAAAGATTTACCTTATCTTTTTACACGTCCTCTATATTAAAAAGAAGTATGTGCGGAAATATGATTGCTCTACAATGGTGCAGCACTTTTAGCCATGATTTTCCGATTGAAATTGGTTTAACAACGGTTTTGTGTACATACCTATAAATAACAATAATAAAAATAAAGGAGATACGGAAACTATTTCATGTATACAGTATTTCAATACACCATTACCCTTGTATTATGGAAATATTTTATGTCTTTGACAATATTAGTTATAAAATATCACATATGCATATAAGAACTATATTGATCAAGCATTTGAAAACAATTTCAATAGACCAAAAGCTTAATTCTTATTTATTAATGGATCATAAGGTCGATTGAAGTTTACTTCTGTTGCAAAATATGTACTCAGATGTGACTTAACGATTTATTTTCGCGAAATTAGTTGTAAAGTGCATTTTTTATTCAGATGATATATATCTGTGCAAAGAAAATATGTAATAGAGTTCGGTCGAACATTTTCAGAAACAAATTGATAGTGGAATCTGGTTCGGAGCGATATTTAGCGACCGAAACAATTTTCCTCTGGTGTTTTTTAAACAAATATCGATCGAATGTAGAAAACAAGTTGGATAAAGAGAAGTGGGCGATCAGATCTTCTGTTAGGCGAAGATAGTAGTAGTGTGCGGCATGGATAGAGAATACGAGCGATGCTAGAACCAGGCAAACATGGCTGCTCTAAGGAATGGTTTATTGTTATGTTCGAATTTTCTTTCAAGTAGCACAAAATTTGCAGCATGCGAGGCAAGTAGAAATAAGTTTTCAAGTTTTTCCATATATAATATTTTTACTTCGTGGTGTAATATATTTTAGTAAACCGTATTGTTTCCAATAGATTTTCTTTTTATTATATTCTTTGTTTAGTTCCAGCAAATACGTAACAAATATGTTGGTCGGTGGATGATTCGTGATCTTAAACGAAGAAAAATGGCAGAAGACTGTGCGGAAGAACGACTGCGACTTTTAGCTATGAAAAGAAATAACATTTTGCCATTGGAAATTCGAGTACGTCATATATACTTTATATAACCTCAAAGTGTGATATAAGCATATGAAAAAATTTGTTACGTTGAAAGGATTAGACGACTACAGCTATTGGTTTTTGTTTATTAAATCTACTTTGCTATTTCAGGAAGAAATTAATCAACAATTTGATAAGATAATTCCACGCCAGACAGCTTTAAGACAATTAACAGCACGGTGTGTACTAACTTCTCGTGGACATGGTGTCGTCTATAGGTGGAGATTATCAAGAATTATGTTCAGGGAGTTGGCTGATTCTAACAAGTTATCTGGTGTACAACGTGCAATTTGGTAGAGATTATATGTACAATGGTGTTTCAGTTCTTTTGTTGAAAAAATGTGAAATAAATACAACATAATTAATGTATCAGCTTGTAAAAAAGAACTTCTGATAAAGTAAGAAGAAATTCTTTTTTATAAGGAGCTAATACTAAAAACACAGTCTTAAACTTATTGTTAAGAGATATGTTTCTAAAAACATTTCATGTTATAAAGAAGACATTAGCCCAGTAAAATACTTTAGGATTAGCGTATGTTGTGATTTTTATTTAGCCATACCATGTTTCAAGAAATGATAATTTGTCATAGCGTTACAAATATTTTAATCTTCTCGAGCTTCTCAAAATTTAGAATCTGGTCAAAGACATAAACAGTGATCAAACAATTACCATAAATTGATTAAAACGAAGATTGCAAGTGATTAAAGGCTATAAGGCAATGTTGGTTTACTTATTTGTTGCAAAAGATATTTCTTAATGAGATAAACTCGCGAATTATGTTGTTGCATTCGAAATTACATTTATTATTTTTTACTCATTTATATATATACAGTAAAATAGAACGCTTGTAATAGCATGAAGCATCAGTTAACTAAAATTCTTCTTTCTTTTATAACCGAGTGACTCTATAAATATAATAATAAATGCAAGCTTAAAACTTTTACGATAACGTCGAAATAATAACTGGTATGTAGAAAGAGTTCTACAAATACAATTAACGAATATGTCTATATTCTACCACATAGTTGATTTATGCCAAGTAAGCGCGCGAAAAACTAGTAGTATAAGCGTTTATCTGATGAGGCATGCATGGCGCAGGTCCGAGTCTCTAGTTCACTTCTCCTGAATCAAGGAATTTTTTACGAGGTAGTAACACAGTGGTATACTCGTGCAGAAGGATACTCTTTTGTTCTTGTTAAAAGTCGACCTGTTGCATTCTCTTTCTTCATTTTCCATAACGCAGGACGTCGATCATATTAGAATTACATAGATGGCCGATTTAGTAAGTATTTCGATTATGTAAATTTCTTTAAAACTGGACTTTAATTGGCGATTGAGACTGTTAAATTATTCAGACGTTCTTCTATCATGTGCACGTAAAATGATATGCATTTCACACCATTTCTAATAATATCGTACACACGTTAAATATCTGAAGCGAAAATTGCCGAATTTACAAATTAAGAAACATGCTTTGCGTTGTAAAATTATAGAGCGAGTCACTTTTGTTTAAACATATGCAGATTTTTTTTACCGTGAACGAACAGCGTTTTATGCTAGTTTTTTCCAATTTCTCGTAATTTCATTGACTCGACTTGGATTGTAAAAGCAGGATAGAAAAGAAAGAAGAATGAGATCACACGCTTGAGGGACGCGCGTTTGATTTTAGCGAACTTGCGATTTTCTTGCAGCTTATTAGTAATCAATCGAACTATTTCGTCGAGTATTTGGAAATTAACGTAGTTACGAATACCGTGGAATGATTTGTTGAAAAAATAAATAATTTAACTTGTATGAAACTTGGTAAGGCACGATTTTTATGCAGTTAGATTGTACTAAAGATTTCCTTGTGTGAGAATAATATTCTTCGCGATCTATATTAACATATTTCCAATTTTGGAGAAGCAGTCAAATGATCGTTGTATAAAGTGTTAAATGAAGTGGACGATTTATGAAAAGTAATCGGTACGAGTTTATGTGTACCTTGGTAAATTTTGTATGAAAGTTACAAAAAATTGTATGCATTGAATATTTGTCGGAATTTAAAAACAATCGTTTTCACTTAATCTTTATTTTGAAGAAAATTATAAAATTATTTGCCAGCTGGTACAAGTTACTAAAAGTGAAATAATTTGTAAATTATTTTTGGCTAATTAGTTCGCGATATTTTTCTATCAAAATTTGAAGGCAATCAAGGGCGTTTTTATTACTTCCAATAGTGTGTCATACTTTTTTTTATTATATATCAAAGTGGATAATCTAGACGATTTCAATGTCCTCCATCGCGAGGTTACTCGTCCATAAATAAAGGAGTAAAACAAGGAGTCTTACATTACAATAAGTATAATGCACGTGTATAAGTGTACAATGTCTCTTTGTCTTATATCACGTGATGTTGTTGGCTTTTCCTGGCTCACAATATCTGTTGATATACCCCAAAGATGTAACTCAATGAAATGTTTCTTAGAAAGATGTGTTGATATTAGGCGTGTAAAAAGAGAATGCTAAATTTAGAACGCCAAGCGTCCGGGGATGTGCTACCTACGCCTCTTATCAATTCCTCTGTATTTTTTCCGTGTCGACAAAAATTGTGTGTACACACATATAACAAGGTAGAGATAAGAAGAGGAAAATCGAATGATCCGAGTTGTTAAAAATCGGCCAAAGTACCCCTGTACGCGAGCAAACCTCCTTACACGAGCGAAAGGAGGTCAGCCTGAGCAGCGGGGCGCACTGTGGCGGCAATTTACCTCTTGCAAGTCGCAAAGAAGACTATGGTAGTCACAGACGTAAACTATGATCTTAGATAGAGGGTAGCTATTTCGAGCAACTTCTACGGAGCCAAACAGTCGCGGATTATTGAAAGAAAAAAGATAAAAATGTAATTTGAAGATAAAAGACAGGACACATTTTCGTATGAACTTTTCTTCCTCCTTGAAGCGGTCCCACGTATCACAATACATGCTGTATCGTTTCGTCGGTTTCTTTTTACCCCTCGTGGCATAACAATTTTGTAAAGAAACGTTTCTTCGTATTTCTAAAAATAACGAAGAGATTCGAGTTATCGAATGGTACATGTCCTTGAGACACTGTGTGGCATGTATTTCTATGTGTCTATTTTTATCCGTATCTTTATCAATGTAAGTCTAATATCGGCGTGCTATTGAACTTATTTGATAAAGGAAGCAGTAATTCATAAACCTAGATTATACCGGTGTAATAATAAATATCAGTTATCTATCCGTACGGTGTATTGTACTAACAAGGGTACGTCCCTTATCGTATCGTTATATTTACATAACATATTTGTGTTAGTTTCGTGGCATTTCTCAGTATAACACGTCGGGGAAAGTTAGTACAATAACCTAGAAGTGTGTAGCAATAGTTGGATTTTCTACATTCCGATGAGAATTATACAATTAATTAAATAGTACACGTTCAATGGTTTTATACAAAGATGAACGATAATCTCGGAAATAAGACGAAAATTAAGAATAAAAACATTGTTTTCTGCTTCGTTTTTCAGTTACCGACAATTAAATATCGGCCAGAATATCCCTGCACGCGAGCAAACCTCCTTACACGAACGAAAGGAGGGGTCGGTCGGCCAGGGCAGTTTTATCTTCCCATAAAAATTAAATGATAAAACTAAAGAAAGGGAGAAGGTATTAAATAATTCATCGTTTATTCTTCGACAAAAGAGAAAACGTATTAAACAATTCTCCACTTTGTGGTTAGGAATAGGTAACCGAAACGTCTAGAAATTCTTTCAATTTTCAACAGAACGTTTCTGTCTCGTAATCCAATTATCTTCTATAATAGTCTTCTTTGAAGGAAACGAACGAAACACATCGGAATAGAAAAGCCGCAAATTAACAAGACTTTACAGTGTCAACACGTTGTTCCGCATCCTAGATAAACATGGGTCACCTTTTTTCCCTGGAATATAACGCATCATTGGGATCGGTTGTCCCGGGGCGTGCGTCACCACACAGAATGTCCACGATGCTTGGCAATTAATCGAACTACAGCGAGTTCTACGAACGATGCCACTTTCACGTACGATCTATCGAAATTTGTCGCGTGTCTCGTTAACGTTAACCGCGGCTCGACGTGGATTGGAAATACGAGACGTTAGCTCGTGTTTCTGAAACGGCGAAATGTTCTTTGTCGGAGAACTGATAAAGCGTGAAATATTAGCACGATTAATACTACCACGTATAGATCGATGAAACGTGATATCAAAGGTGTAGACCATAAAATATTATTTACTACCGTTCTTGTTCCATTCTAAAAGATGTATTTTCATTTATCTTTGAAGGGGAAACTTCTTGTCTTCTTGATGTCTTGTCTGCCAATGAAATTTCGCTTCTTCTTTGGATTTCGCTAGCAAACGAACGATGATGCATGAACGAATAATTTGTAGCTTCGTCTCGTTCGTTTCAATTTGTACAATGAAAAATTCGCCAAATTAATATGGTTCTATATATGCTGTTTTACGTGCACGTCTACGTACAATATAACATACTTAACATCAATTTCCATGTTATACTTTATACTATAGTCAAATGTTAGATTCAAATTATAAATCTGTAAATAACAAATATTTAAAGATGCAAGAAATAGCAGTCGGTCGTGTGTGTTAAAATACTTTAACAGCAAGTACACTGATAGTCCAGTTGTAGAGAAATCGATGGAATATAAGTCTAAATTTAAATGTGCAGACGAAATCAAATGCACGAACCTTTTAACAAACGTTGTGCTGTTTTGTCGATCGGAACATTGGACGAGCTCCACGATAAGGGTCAATTCGTGTTTGTCAAGACGTGCAGGAAGTTTGCATTTTTCGAAACGAAACAGGACCACACATATTACATAAATTCCTCCTTTACCTTCCATCATTCTCGAACATTTCTATTGTTCTATAGAATTTTGAATCAAACGTTAAATGTACTCGATAGAATTCTAATTCCATTTCTAAAAAATCGACCAGACAGAGAAGACCAAAAACAAGGTTTATCATCCATATTATCTAACATTTTCATTGATGTACATGAATTTGAAATACGTTGAACATATTCGACAGAATTCTATCTTATCCTGCACGAAATTCAGGCAACGAAGCAGCAAATAGGAATACATTAATTATTATTTGATAAGAATTATGAAAAGTGAGGCTTGTCAAATTTTTCAACTTTTTAGATAAATATGTATATGGTGTCCGGTAATTAGAAGCAAGTCTTGCAATATGCTGGCTTATCGATAGCATCGAAAACGATCTATTTGAGTCTTGATTCACCCATTGTTGAATCAAAATGAACTGCTTCTACAGAAGCAACATTTATCAAAGCTTCGTCAAGAATGGCTCTCGTTAAACGATTAGTGCTATATTTCCCCGTTTTTCTTATTGTCAAGATCGATAACGGAATATCGCTGATTACTGTCCAGACGACGTATCAAAAAGATTTGAATCTAGTAACAGCAGCGGGCAATATTGATATTTTTAAGAGTTCCACGCGTTATTTGCCTTTCTTTATTTAAACCAGGCATCGTCTTTGATGCTTGAGCTACGTCGTTTGACAAATCGTAATTTGAAAATGTGCTTCTCCAAAAGCAACCTTAGACACGTGGCACATCCACAGTTTCATCGGATATCCCGTTCCCATTCAACTTCGTTTAATCTAACACAATCCTCCTGCTATGCGATTAAGGATAATAGGACAACCATCGTGTAATATGATCGATACTTTGTTGAAAAAAATTGAAAATTAAATATATCAGAGCGTTACGTATTTTGCCGGCTCGGAAAATGACAAGAGTCGATAGATGTTGTCTTTGATACGAGCACGTCCATTGAAACAGCAATCGTAGAAGCTTGACGTATAAAATGACGAAACTTGCGCTTGTTTTTGTTTAAAATACAGAAGAGAAAACGTAGAGATATAAGAACGTAGCGAGGAAAATACGGGATAAGGTTATCGAATACGAGCGCATCGATTAGTTGGTTGAATTACATTGTTACTACGATACAGTGCTACTATTATCACTGCATCATCGTCTAATAACTGCGCCATTACTTGGACAGGATCACCGTTACACGATGTAATAGCGATACGTAAAAGCATGCAGGAGGATCAATGCATGATGTTAAAGTCGAAAGGTACGGTGTGCGATGTACCCGTCAGAAGCAAAGCTTCCAGCTTGAGGGTTTGGTCCTCTTTCACGTATCGCAGGAACGACAACGACGTCGCTGAATTAAGCACGAATCAGGAAAACAACGTATCCGTTGGAAGACTTCGAGATGGACGAAACTATCCGGCGGACTTCAACGTGAGACTCTGCGTATTAATCTCGAAGGAGAATATGCTCAAAATAACGAGAATTATGAAACGAAAATTATAAGAAACGATACGAGGAAGCGAATAGCTTCGTGTAAAATTCATTTTCTCGCTTGAGAAAAGATAAATAGAGCACGCCTTTATATCAACTTTTCTTCGTTGTTTTTTAGGTTCACCCTGTATAGACAATTGGCAAATCTTTGACCAGATGGCAAGCCCAATTAAAAGAAGTAACTTTTGCCCGAGAACTTATCTTTTTTATCTCTCACAGCTTGCGAGTTGTAACACAAAATCGGAAAATAGCCGAATTTTCAGCGGTCAGTTTCGCAGTTTACGGTTAGAATTTGAACAGCGAAAAGAATTGCGTACCTACCTACGTATGCTCTACGTATCCTGCAAAGTTTCATAATTTTCTGAGTTTTCGGCTTGAGGATGTTCCATATCGTAAGAGATACTGATTCGTGCAAAACGAGAAAGACAGAGGAAATATTATCTATAAGTTTATTCTCTTACAGACGATAGAGAGCTTTCATTGCGCGATCGGGCCTGTTTTAAGCATAGCCCGAGTCTTTGGTTTATTTCCAGTGGCTGGAGTCCGATCCGCGTCACCCTCGAAACTCCAGTTCAAGGCACTTTCCTTCGTCGCGTTTTATTCGGGTTTCATAGCCTCGATGATATTCTTTATGACGATCGTATCGGTGCTTCACATGGTGAAAACTCTTAACGCTAATACGATCCAGACACGTGGTAAGTGGACACTGTTTATTACTCTGTTACATTTCCGCCTTTTACTTATTAACATGCGCAACACGGTCGAACAATTTTTGGAAAAATAATTTACAGGATTATCGCGTGCAACTTTCCACGCGTTTCACAGACGCATTTCCTATTTTCTAATAGTTATACGATTTATTTCTCGAAGCTGAGCTTGCGTCGGTCCGGTAGCGTTTCGGTGCACCGATCCAACCCAGCATTGGATCATATACTTAGCATACTCGTTCCAGTGCCATTGAAAAAGATATCGACCTAAATCTCTTAAAAGCAAGAACGAACTTGAAGTTTTATCCCGCGAAGCGTTCACGTACCGTCGCAAATAGGCCAAATACTCGGCTCGATCTCGTTCAGCCGGCTTCAAGGATCGTGTTAGTTATCGAGAAATTACGTTGGTGGCGAGATAAACCGACGATATTGTATCGCGTTGCAGGTGGCATAGCGTCGGCGACGGTTGGCGCGGTGTTCTACGGGAACAGTCTGCTGGGCAGCATCTTATTTTTCTGGCTGTCGTCACGCTGGGTACCTCTTCAATCGGAATGGAGAGCCATGGAACGATGCATAGACAGGTCGATATCTCGACACTCCTGCCAGGTTCACAGCTTGGCACGATTCACGAGTTTGCTAATCGCCTTGTTTGTCGCTTGTCTGCCGTGCACGCGAGCTTCGATACCCGTTAATCGGCACTGCACTCGCAAATTACAATTGGTTCGTCCTATCGTGTAAATGAGATGCCAATAGATTCACTGATAATCCAATGCAAGCTTTTTTTTCACGATAGAATATTCTTCCGCGTGTTTTACCATTTGTTGTTGGATGTTGTCTCTCTAATCGTCGATCGATACCGAGCTTAAGGTTGCACTGGATCAAAGAAATCGTTAGAAAAGACGCTGACTCGCTCTGCAGCCTTGCCAGAGCCGTTTAGGTTTCTCTTTTCTTCTTCTATACGCGAAGATAAGTCGCAAATGCGGAATAGAATTTCCCTGTCCAAGGTCTCGTTCTCGGCAACATAAAGTTCGAACGCGTTCGGGTTACTCGACGGATCGTCAAACTCGTCTCTGTCAGACGCGAACAAACTTGCTCGGTTTATTCTCTGACCGCGACGCAGCTTCTGTCTATTTATCTCTTTACGATTTACAGCAATCGCATAGAACCGACGCGGCTGCGATGGAAATTTTTCTTCCTAAGTTCCGTGATACTGGTGTTGGCTCTGGTCGAGCACATCCTAAGCATGTTCAACAACGTGGACGGCTACGACTGGAACGCATCGAATTCCACGTTTCGCAGCTTCCTGGAGACGTATACTCTACGCTCGCATTCCTTCATCTTCGACACATGTGAGATTCTACCACTTTAAGCGGAAAAACCGAATATCAAAGGTTACAAAGGCAATGACATCCCTTAATCAGCATCACGTTCGTTTCCAGTGAATTACAACTTTGCCTTCGGATTGTATATTTTCGTCGTTAGCAAACTGGCCACGTTCAATTGGAACTTCACCGATCTTTTTATCATGCTGGTAGGTAAAAGTGGTTACTCTCGATACGAGTAACTTTTAGTTATGCTTTTAGTTCGAGTAACCGCATCACGCACGGCTCGCATATTTGTGGTTCGTCCGGTCTCGATCGCGTTTTTATCGATTCTTTTCTAGCCTTTCTCCGTCGAAGAGAGCATTCTCGTTATTTTTAGTAGAGCGTCGTTGTTCCGAACCTTCTTTGGAATTTTCTTCGACGCAATCGGAGCACTGATTCGTACTGATTCTTAAATTACTTAAAATTGTACGAGCTGTACTCGCTCGAACGAGATCTTTTTAAGAAGAAAAGCGTCTTATTGGCCGAAACGAATAAAAACCACGCTACATTTTCGTCAGTTTGAACGTGGCTATGGCGCGAACCGAAATAGAAAAGATACCTTACTATTTTAAGAAAATGGCTGCACTCTGCAGTTTTGATTTTCCAGGCTTTTCTTTCGCTCTTGGCATAGCAAAAGATCAGAAGACAGTCGAGGTTTATCGAATATTCAGGACCGTGCGATAGCTGCGAGTCTGCTGAAGATTTTCACCAAATTCCAAGCGTATGGTACAAACAGATCTCGAGATATCGGAAAATAAAGTTGCGTTTAAAAATTAATAATTAACGAACGATAACTATTTTATCGCGGTACGAAAAAGTGAACTTGCCTGCGACTCCAATTTTCCCCTAATAATTCATTCGCAATTTTTTCAAGATAATTCACACGAAGGTTCAGATTACTCTATTATTACACGACAAAGCTGAATTAGCAACGTATTGCACGATGTTTCGATAAGATCGATCCTGCGTTTCTCTAATTGTCTAGGTTGCCACCGCTTTGGCTGAAAGGTACAAATCTCTGAACAAGAAATTGGCAGTGACGGTGACAAAATATCGGCCGATATTCTACTGGCGCGAACTTCGCGAACACTATGCGATTTTGAGTTGCGTTGTTAAGAAGGTGGACGAGCACATCTCTCCCATAATCCTGTTATCCTTCGCGAACAACCTCTACTTCATCTGTCTTCAGCTGTTGAACGGACTATCGTACGTATACTCGACCCGGAAGGCACGAAGATGCCACGCTCTTTTCCACGTTTTTTCCCAAAGAGAAATTACAACTGAGAAACCCGTCCTCCGCATAAACTACTATTTTTAATAATCGCGAAAACGATCTAAATAAACAATTTCAATCTCGTTCGACATCAGCCGATTCCACCAGGAAGATTAATATTGCTTTTTCAAAATTTGCCAGTCCGGACACTATAGCGATTGTAAGAATGCCAATTAATCTTGCAAATTTTTCAAACGTAATTACTCCGGTGCCTCGCCTTTAGAAATGCCCTACCTATCGTATCTTGGATATGATGGATTTGAATAATTATTCGAAAGCATTTTCATTTCGCCTAATGACATCGGTTTTCCAGGACTCTGCCTCTTTGGTGTTACGGCTCGCCCCAATTGGGCGAGGCATTTCGCATTAGAGAGAAATAAATGTAACGCGCGCTGATAAAAGAGTAGGCCGATACGTGTTCATTTAGACGATATATTGTCGTAATTGGCAGTACGTATAGTCACGTTCTATCGACATCAAACCGTGCTCGGCTTTGTAAAATGTTAACGAAGTAGCAAGTTTTTGATTGCCGGTAATCCGCCAGTTTAGCTGATTGCCAGATCGGTAAAATAAACACGACGAGCACGGGGCGAAGTGAGAGCGAAGGATCGATGATACGTCAGCTCGGTTGGCAAAGTAAGAAATGTTCGTAATTTTTGTCTTTCGCGATAGAAAGAATCGCGCCGGGGCACAGCGTTTCTCAGTTTCTCGTGGGAATTTCCAATTATTTTATAACGCAAGAAGCTCCGTAGCTGAGCAATGACGCAGTCTTCTCGTTAAAATCACTTCGAGTCCAAGCATTCGATATAACTTACAAGCTCAATTTGACTAATTATATGCAAAACTAATTATATCGTATCTTTACAGATGGTTTCAAATTACACAATGCGTATTTATTACGATTAAAGTAATATCGTTATTTTACTCGTAATTGTGTACTCGTAACCGTGTGCCTTCTAAACGATCGTTTCTTCTTTCAAAGAAACACGCACAACGTCTACGATACCTGGCCATCGATATATTCTAAAGTTTAAACAAACTCGCTGCGCGATTAACTGCACAGTCTCTTTTCTCGTATATAGCTCAATGAAGAGCATAGAAACGAGGAGTTGATCGCGTAACGTTCTCAATCAACTCGTTGATTAACGTTGTTATTCCATCTTTGTTAAAAGCATAGCAGAAAAGAGCAGCCCATTGAGCGCGGTGTACTTCTTCGGCTCTTTCGGCTTCCTAATTATTCGCACCTGTGCTGTCACCTTACTCACCGCTAGGATACACGATCAGAGTAAAGTGGCCTTACCTTATCTGTACAATTGTTCCACATCCAGTTATGGCATTGAGGTAACTATCTTTTCTACGTGCGTACTTAATCCCTTGGAAAGTTCGAAATATCCTTTCGTACCTTTTGGACCAGTTTCTCTTTTATTCCGAAGGTTTACGTCACTCGCAATGAATTAAAAATGTACATTATCTGTTCAAAGGCGCAGAGATTGCAGCATCAACTGGCGACAGACGAGGTAGCGTTAACTGGATTACGTTTCTTCTCCATCACGAGAAATTTTATGCTTGCGGTAAATCAATGTCTCTACGTACACCCGAATATAATCTCTAAAATCTATGGTATAATTTATTAATGGAAAATATATTGGTATACAGGTGGCCGGAGCAATCATAACGTACGAAGTTGTGCTTTTGCAATTTGTCGATGGCAAATAAAGCAAAATTACAGTGATATCTATTCTACGCTACTATCGATCCGTTTATAATTATATTTTTGATAATATTGTTGTTACTACGTATGCAATTCGTGTTTTAGCCTATTTCTGACGACATTACTTGTTATTTGTACATGCAAAAATATATAATTACTTTATTTAAACGCCACGGAGGTAGTCACTCGACCGGTTTAGCTAATTTCTCTTTTAATTGGAACAATTAAGGGCCAGAGACGTCGTACTACGACAGATACGTGAGATGGATGTTCCTCGCTCTTGGATGGGTTGATGTAACGACAGACGTTGACATTAAACACAATTTCTCACATTCTTTTCACCCTCTTCTTTATTTTTCTATAAACAATAAAACGTGTGCGTTACAACTACATACACCTGCACATTTCCAGAATAACAATTTCAATCTCGAATCTTCGAGGAATATCGAGCAATTACATAGTTACTTTGTTGCCCTCTCCTCTTACACTTAATGTCAAAATTACGAAGCTAACGGAATAACAAACATTAGTCACTCTTCCCTGTTACAGTTATCGTATTTTTTATTCCCAAGTGATAGCAAACGCAAGATTTGTTGCACCAGTATCTTTTATCGATATGCTTTACAAGGAAGTTGAACGAATGACCGAGATTACGGTGTGCTAGTGTGCTCCAACGAGATGAACTTATACCATGGAAGAAGGATCCTGTCGAAACATAGGAGCATTTAGTTAATTCCATTTGTACGTTAACTGGCACGAACAATGTTCGACATTCGTAAATTAAATTATTCGTTATTATACATAAGAGTAATGGGAAGATAGTCGATAAGAAAAATGCGCGTGACTGTTGTGAATATGGTAAAGAAAAATCAGTGCAAAATATTTTTATATACAGAGGTAGTATCGATGTAGCGTAATTATTGTACATAGGTATGAGCTTGAAAGTTTCTTTCGCCGTCCACTGTGCTTCTGACGAAGGAGGAGATACGATATCGTCTGTAATTCGAAATGCGGGCTAGCTATATTTTATCGTCGATAGCGGCGCTTAAGTGCGTTAAAGAATGACTCAGACAACGGATTGATAAGCGAAGTTGGAAAGTATACGCCGAAGCAAGGAAATTATACTACTTATAATACATACGTACATATGTACATATCTACATGTCGTAAATTTCACACTCAATATAACGCTTTTATAACGTGGATCTCGCGAAAAACCATATTCTTCGACAAGTGAGTTTTGTCTTCGAGCATTTAAGACGCGTTTATGCAGGGCTCCTAATACACGTAATACAACGATATAATACAATACGATACAGTAGAAACCCTGTTACATCGACCAATAGGCAAGCTATTCTTCGATTAGCATTTAGTTCGACCGAATACCTGGAATAAGTCGAAATAAGATGAATACAATTTGTCTGTAGGTGACAAAATCGAGGAGACAATATCGTTCAATCCTGCTTCTTTCCAACGAAATTAACAAGATCAAACCTATGGCTGCCAAGTATCTTTGGCAGATGGCAGATTAATATTATGCATTAATATAAACATATGTATATTTTAATACTTAGTGAATAATAGTTCACATAATGATAGATAATATTATACATTATGTTATAACATTTTTACCACTGAAAAGCTTTACGTTACTGTGCTACGTACAAGCATTTATTAATTATTTTATTCCTAAAGAGCCTTATATTTTTGTACTTTTTATTCCATTATATATTTAGTTCGTTCAAGTTACAGATTAATTTTATAACATAACGATTTTGTTATCGTAACTGTATCGACTGATTTTTAACCAATCTGGTTTGGTATCCATAAAACAAGAGCTTTTAATTTATTTTCACGACCAGTGTTAATTTCGTACTTACCCAATTTAATCGATTGTACGTTATCTCTACGATTCCAGATGATCCGTTTCAATTCTTATCGCTGAACAGCGCTAAAATTATACTTGAGAAACGTTATATATTACAAGATAATATATTCAGTTTATTCGGTATTCCGTGACACTGTTAACAATCGAGTAATGCCTTTATTATCTACTCAGATTATACTCCTATTGTTTCTGGTGTTAATGTTTCGTTCAATGTACGAAGCATTATTTCGTGCAAAAAGATTTTGCTTACTGTTGCGAAGCTACTCGATAAATATGAAATGGACGTTGCCTAATTTTTAGAGAGGAAAATTGTTAATTATATATAACGCACGTTAACTATACAAAAGTCGGTTTTCAAAGCAGCACTCACGGGACAATTTTCCTATAAATTACTACAATATAAATCGTTATAATTAAAAAATTAAGCACGTATGAAACATAAAGCATAAATCACTCGAAATGTTATATTGTATGTACAATGTATATACATTGTGATTTTTCAATTATCAAGCTTCTTAAACTTCTTCCACTCGCCGTCACATTTTTCCCCCGGGAAAATTTGACGCGATCCCAGTTATATACACAGAAAGGTAGATAAAATAAATATACAAACGAAACATTAATCGATAATAAACGAAGGAAGTTTAATTTTAAACAACTACTCGTTATGTTTCTAACTTTACCACGCATTATCACTTACTGGGACAAAGCTAAATTCCAAGCAAAGGTCCCTCTGAACGTTTTTTTAAGCTGGTGTTTAAAGCTGGTGTTTTATACTTGTGTCGATTAATAACTCGGCGTATCCCTCGTGATCCTTCAACGTGTGGCGACTAACGTGTCTCGTTTCAGTGGTGTGTGGCAGCTGGAAAAATTTTCACGACCCCATAATTCTGTTACGCTACCCCCTGTGTATTGGTCAGTGGTTTAAAAGGCCCTGATCTAGCCCTGAAGAGAAGAAAGAAAATAAGAATGAAAATAAATCAAGGGGAAAGTAAATCGACGAATAATTGTATGATACAATGATCCGAAGCAATTAAATGTTCTACCAAATTTAGCGAAAACCGTTTAAGCAGAACCATTCCGATGTCGACGTTTTATCATCCGGTCCAGAGCCTAGACTTACATCTCGTTACGATGTCTCGTCTCATAATGCCTCGCTGTTCTCAATTTCGATGGAAACAGCCACGTTGTTGTAAGATTTAGCGTGTAGTTGCAAGATTTTTCGAAACGATATTTATCGTCAGATGCGCAGATTTTTATGCGTTCATACGACGTACGAAGATTCGGAAAATGCGTATAATAAATAAGAAGACGTACAAGACATTCGAGCAAAATTCTCGTTACAGTTTTGAACGGAGGAAACGAATCTTCGCTTAAGTTCTATCTCCTACTATCGAGGAGATAGTTTGCCTATAAATTTTAATTCGCATAAAAATCCGCGGTCCATCTAATACCAATTTCCAGAGAAGAACATCTGCTTGTAGAAGAGAAATTTCGTTTTCGATGTCAACCTATCTCTGGGACAAGCGTAGGTCGCCCGACATTCTTCACACTGTGCACTTATATACAGCAGATTAGTCAATAAGCGCTATTCTACTTAAGATATGGGAATATTTATAATGGGGAATCGTAAAGCAACACGTTAAGGCTGGAAGGCGATGATTTAAGTGAAATTCCTCGTAAGCGCGTCGAAAGACGTTTGAAAACGTGGTTACTTCACCTCGCACACGGTACTGTTCGACACTTCACTTTGCTGCGTCGTGTTGAACTGCACCAGCACCAGTTCGTACGTCACTATGGTTCCTGCTACCTGAAACAAATTTTCAATCATTTTTCGAACGCTATGATCGCCGACAAACACGTGCTGAATATTCGATAATCTTCTCCAGCGATTGTCGGTGTCAGACGTGGCACGAGAATCAAATCCACGCGAAGCGAAACTGATTCGGCGTTATCACACGATTTTCGCGAGTGTTTGGGCATTGTGCAAGAAAATGCCTCGGGTCAGCCTTCTGCGAGATTCGCGGTTTATTTGTAAATTATATGGAATACGATACGCGTTCGTCTATCTCTGATTCTCAGGACACAGCTTGTACGAGGGACAAATATGTTATATAATATTATAAAATGTGTTATATAATATCATTATATTATCAAATCGTTATTTTACGTTATATATTTTGTACGTACTGTTAACACGAGGCTCCTGGTCACCGAGAAGAATTTCATGCCCGTCAAGCAAATGTTATCCGTTGTTACTTGCGCCAGGAATCTCATTACCTGCGAAAACGATAAAATTATTGCACGCACGATATGGAAAGTTAATTAAACGGGCTGATATAATCATTAAACGGTAAATTTAACGATGAATCGTTAATTATTCAGAAAATTAGCAATGCTTTTATTCCGCGTTAGATAGCAACGACTAGCTTCGGCGCGTGAATGTTTTGCTCGTAGCTGCTGTCTCGACTCGTTGATCGGACTTCAAGTACTTGAACAGGTATGGACATACGAGCAATTAGGCACAGAAAGGGTAGAGAGCGACGAGAAGGATATAACAAAGACGCGGAAAGCAAGGGACAGAGGCAACAAAACACAAGCGTTGATCGCAATGTACAAGGTACAAAATGAATTACACAAATGCGTAAGATGTACAGACAGACCGAGGTGCTTGGAGGAAAAGGGAAAAAGAGGAAGCGAAAATGTGCTGGTAGAAGGAAGGCAACGATTTCTGGAGAGAAGAGCGAGAAAAGCTACGCAGCCAGCTGCAGTGGACTGCAGAAATTTCGTACTGCGACAACGAAACGTACAGACTATAGCGACGATCGACGATTTGGCATTGAAATTTTCATTGTAGAAACGGATAGGATGGGAATCTTACTTCCGTCGAGAAACTGCTTCCAGAAACGCTGTATAAGATCGGCGCCGGGAGTAACGACTCGTCGTGAATCATTGCGGCACACAGGGAGACCACTGTCGTTCTCGCCAACAGGAATCCAAAGGAAAAGCCGAAGTAGATTTTCTCGATGATGCCTCGCATCGGACTGCTTTTTAAACGTTCGATATTTAGTTAGGATACACTGTCGCGGCAGAACGCCGTTGCATATCGAGCGTGCGATAATATAAAAGAATGACATTTTGTCGTGCATACGTGAAAGAGAAAAGCAGTTGTATGCAGATGAAATACAGATCGGTAGCGAAAGAGAGGAGAACCATAACGGAGATATGGGAGTCCAGTTGCCTCGTTAGCGTTGCCAAGTGATTGTATTCGCTCCTTGCCTCGGCCCACCACCATTCGGGCATTGCCTTAACAATGAAATGATGCTAAGGACCAACATTCGTTATTAAAAACTGTAATATTTTCTGCGCTACTTAATTCAGTTAACAGTATAATAACGATCAACATTATACACATATATACACGGTATTTCGCGTAGTTTCCTATCGAACGATATTCTGTAATCTGCAAAATAACAGTAATTGCTTAATTACGTGAAATATTTAATCTCTTTCAAATAATAAGGCGCTTAATCCGAGTGAACGCTTAACTTAACGATAAAATACTCGATTATACCGTATAGGAGAATATTCGCAGTCGCTTACCTTGCCCCTTATAGAATTCAGACGACTGTTCAGTTGACGAAACTGATCTGTCAAGGCGATGCTGATAAGAATGAGAAACAGGTCGACGAAATTCCACGAGAACGTACTGAGAATATTGCAGATGTCCACCAATACTCCTTTCCACAAACTGTACTGTATCCTAGAAAATATCTGGCCGACACACACGTTTCTGTTTAGAATCTTTTCGACCGATCGAGTTTCGACGAAAATTTTGGATTATGCGTTTGCGCATCTAACGTAAGCGAGTCGTACGAATAATATGCCATAATAATATGCTATTCGAAAAATTAGCAGAAGGATGAAAGTGGTGATAGAAATATACAGGAACAAAGTAGCGCAGAATATGGGGAATATAAGGAAATAGACACGTGGATACCATAGAGTAGCAAAGGGACGTTGAAAGCTCTTCAGCTTTCGCGGATGGAACTTTTGTGGGAATAAAAAATAATAATAAAACACGGCACCTTGTAAAAAAAAAAAGAAAAAATATCAATTTGTTGGGAAGAAAGTTGATAACAAGAAAAATAGGCGTTACCTGTGGAAACTGCATCTGGAAATACACACCAAGTATATCCTCTTCTGCTTTGTACAGGGCGCACTCTTTAGCTTGGATGTAGCCGTGGATTATCGACAAACCGTGTTCGACTGTAACAGCAAATCGCACAGTCCATCGATTAAAAGAAAGCAGATCGATTATTAGAAAAATCGCAGAGGTAGAACTTCAAAACTTGTTCAGGTGAACAACGATGTTTGGCGGGGCAGAGGCTAAAACCGAATGATACGGTAAATGCTGAGGAAAGGGGAGAATTCATGCGAAGGATTGGGCTAAGTGACGAAGAAATGCAGCAGACGAGGAGCGTACGTAGAGAGGCGGATGAAGTCAACTGTGAAAGAGAGAGACGAGCAAGCGTCAAGGGATGAAAAACGGTACAGCAGAATAAATAAAAGAGAGTGTAACAAACGGTACAAGCTTACCACGTGTTTCGGTGTATCTAAGTAGCGAACAGAGGAAGAACGTGAAACGAAACGACGGTTCTCGTTTTGGGGAAAAAGAAGTAGAGGAAAGGTGGTACATTTTATGCGAGATGAGAGAAGCTTGGAGACTTTGAAGCGCTGGTTTGCAGGATTGCACAAACTGTGACTCCTAGGATCAAGTTAGAGTTACGCAATAAATAGACGAATAAATAAAATAACGATAAGACACTTACCTAATGCAATCATCATCACTACTATGGTCACGATACTGAATTTCGTGGCCAGGGTGATCCTCGAGATTTTTCTATGCCTGTGCGAAAGCTCTTTCTCGAGTTTCTCCCATGTTACCATCAAACAGGGCCACTGGATCGATAACTTTAGGAACAGCAACGAAGCGATCAAATTCGTCCCATTGAATACGAACGTGGCTTGCGTAAATAAACAATAAAATATATCACTTACGTTGTAACGATTAATGCTACAATAATTATGTTACAATGATGTATAAATAACAAATTTAATCCACCCATTGTGTTCGGATCTATCACGCTGTTTACGTACGAACCAGTCGCGTTTTTAAGCCATTGTAATCTTTTTCTATCGATTTTAGCGAAATAATTCCAAATTTTGATATGTAAATATCTTGGAATATTCGAACGAAGTTTTGACTTGAAAGAGTCGAAGGCACACGAGTATTTTTTCACGAACGCAATAGGAGAGTCAACAATGAGACAAAGCAACCCTTTAGCAACGATTTAATTACACCAATTGCAGTGAGATTATTTTTACGTTGTATTTTTAATCTCATCTTTCTTGTGACCTTCTTTTCATCGTTGCTGTGTTTTTTAAAAATAATAAAAAGAAGGTAAAGAATGGACGCATTAGTCATCGTCCTTCGATGTCACATGGCGTTTTTGGTGGAAAGCTTTTCTTAGTTTCCGCATTGATATACATAAGTTGTTGTTCAAAGTTTCAGCCGAGGATATGGCACGTGAAAATGATCCTCCTGTGCTCCTTTTTCCTTCTTCCACTTTCTAAATATACTTTTCGAACACCTGACGTTTCGTAAATCTACTAGATAACAATTGGAAATCCTCGATCCAAAAATCTTATTCGTGTAACAAATTTTTATTGATAGTAATAACTTAAAATTTCTGAATGTCGATACGAGAACTTGACGAAATAGAACACTCGTAAAATAAAGCTTAAACAAAGCGCGTTATACTTCCTCTTAATCGCTGGCGTAATTGCTACAGGGTTGCTTTTACGTAAATGTAAAGTATCTTGAAAAATCTTACTCATTTTCGTGGAATTTACTCCGGTCGCAACTATTCTCAAAATGTTGAATATCGTCATTACCGACGAGCCAAAAATTGACATCGCGCAGTATACGAATTTCGGACTGCGCCAGGTGAACCTAGACGTAAGGAGAATCGCGTTAATAGTCGTAGTTAACGTCTCGGCCATTTGTACTTTTCGAGTAACATTACGTATCGAGATTAACGCCAAATATTTGAAATAATCTTCTAAGTAAAAGTGATTTCAATTCTCTTGAAACTATCCGAAAGCTGTCAGCCCATCCGTTTATTTCAGGTTTCGTTTCAACCCTATTGCGCGGGATTATCGATTTCAACAGATTGCTTGGAATATATACAATTCCCTATAATGTAGCAACCGAGAGCTCGATGTAAGAATATATAACTATAGCGTAGGAGACCGGGGGATAAGAATGCAACAACATTCCCTGTAACAGGCTATGGGACTAAAATACGAATAAATCGTTTGGTGTCGGTGAAATCTGCCTGGATGATGCGAAAAGGGGTCCGATTGTCGTCTATCCGGCGGCTATCTCCTAAGTTAGAGGCGTAATGGGCGCAACGGACACACGTGGAGTTTCTAACGAGAAATTACCTGAGATACGATGCATCGGAGTTGTTAATACCGGACACTGGGAACAAGGAGAAGCATTGCGCCAACATGATGATCGGCCTCATAGACGCGTGTAAGCTGTCGGTCTTTGGGTTGAAGGCGCTGACGGAAGCTGCTACCGGCTCCAACACTGAACATTTATTTTGCAAGTTCAATTTCGAGATTCGTTGGACCCGCGCTCGATCATAGGCTTTTTGTTATATGAGCAATCCTTAAAACTTACTTCCGATAGTGTCTATCTCCGGCTTCAGATTGTCGAATTTGCCAAACTGCGAGCTACTCTTGGGCGACCTGAAAATTTCGTTACTCGCGTTAGTAAGAAATACAGCGTCGACTATACGCGCTGATTCCAACAATCATGCTTGGTCGTATCTCTGTATCGAACTTAATTGAAAAACATCATAGATGAACAATCCGTGGAATGAAATTGATGCAATATATCATAGACTACATATCTATTATATATCTAGATATATAGATTATCATAGATTATATATCTAGTCGCATATACTTTTGTAAAATTATTACTTTCTTACTTCTATCCGCAACCCACTTGTTATCTAAGTTTGTAACGGACCAAGGTCTAACACGATGATAACGATAGTATGAAAAATAGGTAGTTCCGATATATTAAATCGTTAATTTCACATTCACTCGAGTCGATCGAACGGCACTTGACACAACGGAGAAACACGGATATCCCGTCCACGTAAACAAGCGACTTATTAAAAAGGCGAAATTAATCGAAGCGTGATAGATTCACGTGCAATGTTCGACCGTGTTGGCGATCACGACAAAAATGATAAAAACCTGCTGCGCGAGGCGTCGCAATCGACGATGTGCACGCCGAAGGATCGCATGGTGAACAGAAGATAAACTCGTTATTTCCCAGCTTTATCATACGTCAAAGGATAGGCGGAGGGTGTTTTATAGACAGTTCTAGGAAACTCAATAAACGTCCGGTTGAACAACCATTGGAAAGTTTGTTCGTCTCAATGGGGCTAACGCGAGTGTTGGCAATTGTAAAAATCCCTGACAAAGGAGCGATTTATTCCCCTTTCTTGCTCGTCCTGGTGTAGGAAAGCAGGATTCGTATGGTCGAAACCTTTTTTAATATTCGTTTCACATCCCTCTTGACATTCTTTCGCTCGATATTCTCGCGATATCGTCGGAACGACTGGCGCAATTTTCGCGAATAATCGTTTTTCTGAATTAATAATCCTTGCCAATATGCAAAATGCGATATGGATGCAACACGATCGTAAAGTTCGCGTCTCGATAGTGAACGGGGTAAAAGGACTCTGGGTTTGCAGAGTTTTGAGAACGTCCGAAAGTTAGCTACAAGAATACGTAACGAAAAATGGAGGAAAAATTGGCGCTTTTCAACGCCATTTGTTCGCTTTCGCAACGTTAAAATTTATTGTACAAGACACGTTTATATCGTTGTAGCGCACTTAACGACGTGAGAGGGACTCCAAAGCAAAGTTAAAAATATGCCTTGGTAGGAAAATAGGATGTTGGTAGAAAAGTTAAAGGAACGAAGCCTCTGTAATAGTAACTTGCAGCTATTTCCCGGAAACGATAGATCAAACGATTCTAGAAATCTATAATAGGTCGAAGCTTTTTTAGAAAATAAGAAAGGCGGAAAAAACTGCGAAAGAATTAGACGAAAACGTACGAGTTGAAAATTCTTTGACAATGTACGTTTCTTAATATTATAATTAGATACGTGAAATTATTTATATTTCGTATAAATAATTACGTACAATATTATACTATTGACATCATTGTTACAATTATAGTATAATATACAAATTTTTAATAGAATATTACTTCATAATCTAAAGCGTTTTAACTTCCATATTTAATAACGTTTAAAAATTACAACAAATTAACAACGAATTAAAGACAACAAATAAGATCGTACTAGTCGATGTTTAAATAAATACACAAAGTTGCAAATACTTACCTAACATTGATCAATAACGCGTTCTGATATTTCACAGGTGGCAAATTCAGCGGCCGCATCTCGTTTTCTTTTTTCCCTGTATTATCGTAATTCGACATGTTATTCATAGCATTTCGTCAAAAAACATACATCTCACACGATACGTATGCCACCGATCCGCACTAACTGCAATTCCAACGTGTACGATATCAGCGTGCCGTTGTAAATACAATTGCGGACACTTTACCACCACCAAACATATTCATATACGTGAAACAAAAGTGTAGTTGATTAAAAAGCGCAGCCAAATACCAGCAAACACCGTACGGTAAGCGAAACACGTGAAATACACGCACGTTACGTACAATATGACACGACAGAGTTGTAAGAGCCGACTAATTGGGTTACGATCGTTGCAACTGAGCTACGTGTAATCGAGAAATTGTGGAAAAATTGAAAGGGGAGGATTACAAATGCGGGGTATCACACGACAAATGTTACTCCCTTGGTTGTGTGGAACGTGTCAGGAAATGAACTGAAAGATATACGAGCCGCTGGCACGAACTATATATCTCATAGTTTATACATATAGATGGTGTATTAAACAGTGACAGAGAAATAACAGATATGCACTACTGGCTGTGTAGGTCTATGTATGGGCGGACATTTGACACACTCGTCGTAAATAGTGCTCGATGCTCGCTTATCCTACCCAGTTGCGGGTACTCAACTTTCCGACTTTCCCCGCTCACCAACTTCCTTCGCGTTTCGTTCAAATTACACGAATTCCACGATTACAGAAACTACAAATTACAGAAATCGCATCTTCGGCTTGGCCGATGTTCGCCACCGTTCTTCGGTTTCCAGACGAAATCGCCACACTCCGCCGCGCTAATTGGCATTATCATCCGCTTCTGCGCAGCAATTACATCCCCGTTTTGGCTGATGTTGCTCGCTGCTCCTCAGTTTCCTCAACTTTCCGATTCTCTTCGAATCTCGCCGTCCTGTTTCCTAATTTAACGAGAATCCCTCTTTGAACAGAAATTTTACATCTTCGCTTTGGCTCGTTCCTTTTCGACTTTCAAACAGAATTCCAACGCTGTCGCGCTAATTCGCCTATCGTCTGCCCCCTGACTTCCTCGAAGACTCGATATTCGATCGACTATCGGGTGAGCAAAAGGAAGAACCATAGACTTTTGTTACCTTTGCATTTAATAGACGCAAATTCCTTGCTCGGTTCTTTTTATTGCGTTAGACGTTGCACCGATAACGTTAATTGGCAGTTCAGTGTTTTTGAGCAAAATTATCGATTCATCGTGTTTCTCATCGTCGATCGTTATTTCATCGTTTCACGCGTGATCTGTTCGATATGAAATCCCTCTATTGGAAAGTTAATATCGTAGATAAGGAAGGATGATGACCGACAAAAATTCGAGCGTGTGAATCTGTCTTTGATAAAACAAGGAAACCCTTTTTATGAAAAGATAGTGGTAGATTTTATATTTTAATATGGAACGCAGCGTACAAAGCAAACTTAATAAAATTCGACAGTTGTACACGGTTCCCTTGTGCAGTATAGAAGTCGCGAAACTTTGCAATACGATTCTATTCCGTCGTGAAGCTCGAGATCGATCGATTTTACTGCTTTTTTCGCTGTAAAACTCCTTACGTAAATGAAATTTAGTGAAATTTCATTTATTCGTACACATGCGCGAAAAGTTTGTTCGTTAAACGTAGGTTCTATTAGATTTCGTAATTCTATTTTGCTGTTTTATAAAATTAATATATATATATTTGGATGCAACGCTTTTTTCTTTAGGTAGCGTTTATCGACAAAAAGGCAATTTTCATTTAATGTTACTTTCATAGTCGCTGGCACGATTACACATTAATAGCTCGATTCTGAAAAGAAACGTCGAGCGACGTTTTCCTCGTTTCTTGTTTCCGTGCTGTCCATTTGAATCTTTAATAATTTGTTGCTGTATTCGTCGGTATAGCGATGCATCAATCATATGTTTGCTGTCCCATCGTTTCGAAGGAAGCGTGAGAGAGTCGTGCCGTTTAACACGTTCGCTCCTGATCGTTGATCACCCTTCCATCATCTACGATACTGTACACATATGCTAATAAATAATTTTCATAGGAAAGCTATTTTCACGCTACAGGTATTTATGTAAAACTTTGTGTCTCTGAGTTATTACGAGAGCTTTCTTAACGCTTTATGCTTGAGATGCGTTCCAATGTTCCTCTCAATCGACTCGGCGATGAAGAAATATTTCGTTCCAATTTGTATGGAAACATTTTGCCAGATCAGACGACGAATCGACGACCCAAGCACCGTTAATGAAACCTGTCTGGACTTACAGACAGGTCAAATAGCAAAGATGAAAGCGATGCAAAGAATTGCAAAAATCCTACGAATGGCAGTGGATGCACCACGATATCTCAGAGATGAGGCTTAAAAATGCCGATCGATCTCGAAGAATCGTCCTAATGAAAATTGGCAGTAGCGCGAAAGCAAATAAAAAATGATACGAAAAATTTGCCAATTGGCAAGCAAAGAGGCGAACAAGCGTAGAACTGCAGGCGGAACGCTGAGAACACTCACCAACAGTTGGCACGCGGTGGGAAGATCCTTCGATAGACGAGACCGAATCGTTTTCAACAGGATCCAGATTGGCCACGCGAAACTTACTCGCGGAACCTCCATCCGGTGGCAATCGACGCGTGTCGATCCTTCGCGAAGGAACCTGGCGAAACCGGGACAAACTCGCCAGAACGCCATAAGAGCGCTTTGGTAATACGAAGAATATTGAGAAGCCTTTTCCGAGAGGCTCAAATTTATCCAAAGCGATAAACTTTTCTACGATCGCATTTAACAGTCGCTAATCAGCACGGTACACGTAGCTAATGACGCGCAGACGCTGCTGCGAAGAAACTTCAATACGACGAACGTGGAATAAGGCAATTTTGTAACGAGAACACGCCGAAATACCGACTATCCATTTACCTCTTTTCACCTGTTCGACTTTCCTTTTATACCAACGTCGGTTAAGAAATTATAATATTTCATGCTTTTTAAACGAGGAGCAAACGTGAGCTCCAAGTTACGTTAAATACAGGGCGCGGCTAAATTTAGTTTCGCGTTCGCTCCAACACACGAAAGATAGCGAGGTTCCATTAAAAGAGGAAAATAAAACATTAATTATCTTGATAATAGCGGGCATCAATTAAGTCGCGAGACGCGACCAACGTTGATTGTATTAATCTTCCCAAGCTATCTAAATCATAAAACATATTTTACATGCTCTTTTACATATCCTTGAATCTAACGCGAATATTCATACTTTCGCCTTCTGATGAATCGTTCTTCGTTTAATCGAACGTAAACCTTTCACATTGACGTAAAAACAGCAGGCTTGACGGAGATCCAGAAGTCGCTTCGTGACAACACGATATTTATTCGAAGATGATCTATATCAGGAATACGTGCATACGTGTACACTATAAAAGAAATACAATATTTCCGTGCTACGTTACATGCTGAATTACATTACATGCCGCTTACGAAAGCACGAATTACGTTTTACCCCTGTGTACTTTATAAACAGTCTCGACTGGACTGGTGGTCGGACGTACGAGCTTTCACGCGCGTTTAGTTGACTGAAAGTCAGTGTGCAGCCAATGCAATGTAAACGCCAAAGTCAGCAAAATGAAGGAACATCTTAAAGAAGTGCGAAGTGATGCTCGAACGTATCGAAGCTTTTGGAACCAATATTTCTCGTTTAATTTAACACACGTGTCTCTACATGGAAGTTCGCGTGCTACAGCAGACCAGTGGAATGAATCGATCCCTTTGTCGTTAATCGGAAAGGAAAACAAGAAATTGGGAGGACACGTGCTTATTAAGTGGTGCGTCGTTGATATTAATACCTATACAAGTTTAGATTATCCACGGAATCATCGCCTACCATATTAATTATGCATATGGTGATAATTCTTGGTAATTACGCGGTGCAGGAAATTTCGATGGCCTTGAAATATATCGGCAAGGTCGACATTTGGAATATTTTTCTTCCACGCGTAGGATCGCCGCTTAGTCTTAGTTTCCAAAATACTGGCAAAATGCTGCGATTAAATTTGGCTTGCGATTACGCTTCATTCTGCAATCGGCAGCCGGGTTTTTCTATGATCCGACATAAACCGAAAGTAAATACCAGCGAATAATGGTAAATATCGCGCGAAGAGAGAAGATACACGACGAAATAAAAACAAATCAAAGTCATCTGTAGTTTCGTACGAGCTCTAACGATGTTTATTCATCGCGACGTAGAGACTCGATGCTTCGGTTTCTCTTTCGTGCCAGTAGTATTCCGTATACGTAGGCGAACAAACGACGAGCTGACAGGCTGTGTAAATAGAATTTTTTCCATTGTCACGCCGCTTGCATTTGCTTGGAATGAAAAGGGGCGCGTATGTGGACCTTGTCTCGTAATTCCGACCCACTTTAATATCATTCTTCCTCGTAGCCTTGGGTACCAATAAACGCACCGCACACCATGTATCGCGTCCCCTGGAAGATCGCAACTTCGAAATTTCTTCTTTGACTGTAGGCATACTGAACGAACACGAACGACGTTAGTTAATAAGAAAGTTAGGAGCTGGAAATAATATCACTGTTACGACTTTTCGATAACATCATTTTCGCAGGAAACCTTAAAGCAATAGAAGCAATGGCCGAAGCGCTACTTCTGCAAATTGTGATTACATTTTCCTCGAATGTTTATCTGCCATGAAAATCCACGTTTCACGTTTCACGTGTGTGTATGTATAATATGTAAATCATAGGAGATTATCACCGAGCCCCTAGTGTCAGCAAATTACATTTCATTTCCAGGATACAATTAGCAGTCATATTCCGATCAAATATTCATGTTGCGTGAACAGTCGCCAGACGACGATCGCTTGAACGATGGTTCTCTGGTGGTGGAACGGTTTCACAGGGTATAACAGAAGATCGCCAGCCGATTGTACAGCTAAAACAAACAATGAAAAATGTTCGTGTAAACATGTGCTCTATCCGTATTTGTCTATGAGATTTAGCGAATGTTAAACTTGTTAAAAACGTGGAGACGCCAGGGTTGAAACTAGAGCGAGCTTTTCAACCAACTCGGCAAACGCCAGAAATCATTCCCCTGTCGACGAGCGAACGAATGATTCGTCGTCTTCGGTTCGTTCATTCGTTAAGCAACAGGTAGAGCGAAGAAGATTCTCTGGAATCAACAGGAGGACTATGGTGCATGAATTCTGGCAGTAAGACGTTTGACGAAGGCAGACAGAACATTTTCCGGTGTGTTTCAGGCCGCGAAGTATGTTCCACGTGTTTTGTTACATCCTGTACATGCACTCGGGTTTGTTTGCTACGATTATATTTGTCGAATAATTGTAGCTGTTTTCAAAGTGAAGAGATGGTTATCATAGAAGAGCAATTGGAGAAAAAAAAGCAAAAGTGGGATGAAACAAGGTGTCGGCCAAATCACACATACGAATTATATTTATGTTCTGTTCCCATATACGAGTGGCATACATTGTTACAGTCGTGTTTATTCGCTAGACACAGTAGTTTTAAATAATGAACTTAATCGCGAAGGCCGTTATTGTACATGCTTGTACACGTTTCGACAAGATTTTTCATCGATCGACATTTATTATTTATTAATAATAGTCCGGTCGTATCATAGACCGTTATCTGTGCTCGTGTTCTTATCGCTAAAGGCCCCTGTACACGTTGAGCCACGTTGCGGCGCATGCATCGACACTTAGGTCTCGTGATTACACGTTACGATGCATGTAGTTTGATATCGGCGAATCACCATCAAACGGCAACTTTTATCGACGCTTCCCGTCTTGGTTGGCGAGCAAAGTCCCGTAGACACGCGGCTTTCAACGTGTAGAGGGCACCATCGATACCAAACATAATTTTTACATTGCATAAATAGGAGACTCTCGTCCAGTGAATACACGCTTATCCGAACAAACCGCAATTAGTTCCTTTTCCGTCATTAACTAACGCTATCCTAAGTTTCAAGCCCATCAATTATTATCAAAATTTCCTTGAAAATTTCACGATGTTAACTAGTACGACGATCAATTTGTCCTCTTGACATCTCGCAGATAATGCGGTGTACATTCGCAGGGCTTCGCAAAAATGTTCAGAGATTTTCCAAGCACCTAAAAAAATAAAACGGAGCTGATAATTGAGTCTATTACTGATATCCGAAGATATCCAAACATTCGCGTAAAAATCGTTCGCTGGTATCTTCGTCGGATTAACCTCGAAGAACGTATCTCGTGAAGATTTCTATGCGCGTTGAAACATGTTGCGGTGCATCGGCATCGGAAGCAACTTATACCGGTGCAACAATCGCAATCCCGTGTTAGTCGGTAAGGTAGATCGTATTTGGAATGGAAATTTCAACGCATAGAGGGCAGCATCGACGTTGAATGTAATTTACGGTGCACCCTCGTCGTTGCATTTCGTTCGTCGATCGTTGGGCGAAGTTGATGCGATCGAAAAGCAGAATCACCCGATTGATCATCTCCTTGCCCATTTTCTGCTTTTCTTAAATTTTCTATTTTCTACAATCGACATACCTCCTATCGGAATATGATCAAACATTTTCAGACGCGTGTTTCAACGTTGGTACATTGAGAGGAGTCGGTAATGCGGATTTTACGCGGACTCTAAGCATCGCAACGCGTTTCAACGTCTACAGCGACTTTAAGAAGATACATTTCGAATAATTATTGGATTAAATTACGTATAAATTACGTAAATTCAACTTTCCTCCCACCGGTACAATTAAAGTGTAAAACATTATTACAAGCGTCAAGTTGGAATTAATTTTCTATTACTTACACGTTATATTTATCTCTTAGATTAATTACCAGTTACATACACGAATACTGTCAGGAGCTCGATGCTGTTCACTTGTGTGCCTCGCCTTATTTAGTAACAATATACATACATACATAAATTTATCGTATTTAAATTGTAGCAAAAATTCGATATACGTGAAACAATATCGTTACTCATGGCGTTAAAATTTTACGTCTTACGCGATAAAATAGCATAACGCTAAAAAACAGCTTCTTTACAGGAGATCGTTCGTCAGTCGTTTCTTGTTACGTGCTAAACATTCTGCCGCGTATACGGTGCTGGGCAAAATTTCATTTTCCTATTAAATAACAAATAAGAAATTGAAATAACGTTTTAATTGCGAATAAGAACGAAATTTCTTATTTAAATAAGATACTTCTTATTTAAATAATTCAATAATGCCCAACACTGCACGCAGTACATACATATATTTACAATTCGGTAATTCAAAGACACATTATTCTCAGTATCATCTGTACAAGCCCTTATATCGACATAGCTAAGAATTATGTATTTTGTACACAATTAACTTACTGTACATTGTTTTCGACAGAAATTTCAATAGTATTAAACGATTGAAGTTTTTCCATAATTACTATTCGTTATTAATTTAATTATCGATTATTCGCAACTAAGAAAAGCGAAGTTTAAGCATTAAAATAAATAATTTGCATCGGAGTTGTGCGAAATTACAATTGAATTGCTTCGAGAATTATAATTGCAAAATAATTCAATTACACTCGTGATCGAAGTAATTTGTGATTACAAATCGAACTAAATGAAAAGGTTTCCGTTACGTAATTACTATACATTAAGTAATTAAATTACAGTGTAATTTAATTAGGACAACTGCAATTATACACTGTTCTCCACAATATTAACAGCGCGGAGGATTATCCTTGAATCCTGGAAATATTCTCAGAAGAAAAGACCTATTTTTAGTTTTCTATCTTGACCAGCAGTATATGTCTTAGATCCGTTAATGACTTTATCGATATTTTCACAAATTAGATGCAATGGAACATCTTGTATTTATGCAAGTCTGTTGATGATCTTGTTTCACATTAGCAGTTTTGTGGTACGAGATTAAACAGCATTGCTGTAAACGAATATTAATATAACGTAAATTGTTTTCAATTGAAAATCCTAAGAAAACGATTTCAGACGGAGGTAATTCTGTTTGTATCGCTATAGTATTTCATGGATATATTCAAAGCACATTTAGAGTTAATTACGGTGCAAGACAATTTCGTTGCCACAATTAAATTACTAAGCGTTATAAATAATCTTTAGGCATGTAACAAATCACACGCATTTGTAGAAATATGAGAATTTCAGAAAATACATAACATGATTTCTGATGATAAATAAAAATACATCTCTGCGCGTGTGTTTGTCAATAGGCCAATGTTTGTATAACGAATATTTGTACAAAACTGCGTATCTTGTATCGAACTTTCAATTCCTAAATGTATAATATGATATTTACGCGTACCACGATGCAAAAAAAGCAAAGGAAACAGACCGAGAATTTGTAAGATATCTCCAGTGTTAACAGAACCTGACAAATTTATACAAAGGATCATACTCGTTTCTCTGAACCATATTCGCAATTCACAAGGTGCCCATGGGGGCGTACACACGTACAAACACGCTGACCTATCGGTATACAACATTCACGACGTCACGACACGAAAGATTTATTCCGTGAGACAGACAGCAAGTGTTTCCCATCGTGCGATTCTCCAACTATACGCACACGTACACGACGTGCTCTGGTAGAAAGAGATTAAGGTGCGACGAGATCTATCTCGACATTTTCATGTTCTTCTTTATAGGACAGAACTACACGCGCAACGAGACAACCTCGATTTTCTAGAACAATTATTGACTTCGCAATTCACAATTAGTCATTAATCGAGAACGAAAGAGCGGACGATTACTTAATGTCGGACTGCGGATTTTTGTGCATTTATTTTGACGCGTATATCCAAAAGTATGTTAAGTATCCAAAGCAAGATATTTACTCTAATGTTCAGTAGAGACGAAACAAAGGCTCGTTTCTTTAGCTCCATTCATAAAGATGTAAAAATGCAGGAAAGTTCGCAGTCTATTACATTAATACAAGTTAAGAAACATCTTTAGGAAATGAGAAAACCGACCGTTTTCCTCGACAGGAGGAAGAGGCGTCTTCGTTCGCTCTTCTCCTCCCGGAAAGCCGTAAAACAGCTGAAGACAGACTTTATCCTACTTTGTCGCAAGTACAGCGTGAAAAGATCGCAACACGATTTATGAGGTACAGCGAACATGTCACAAAAAGAAGATCCTGGCAAAGCGCGTACTCGTTTGTCCCACTGACTATTCTCACAGTGGTCGCTCTAAGAACCTCGGAGAGTGCAACTTGAGAACGCACTTGCAATAAAAAAAAAAAAAAAATATTCGTTCATCCGCCACTGTAAAGCGTGTAATTCTAAACGCGTTTGGAAAAACCATTTTCTCGCGGTGCTCTCTTTTTTCCAGAGCGCGTCGCCTACTTTTATTAACGACGCGTCGCAAGAGCTGCTGAATTGTCTGCGACGTTGTTGCTTCAATAATATCAAACTTGCTAACTAATCGTGGCTATTTCAATGCATATTGTGAATATGTCTCTGTTCGTTACTAACAACACGAGCTGCGACGCTCGTTTCCAATAGCGTGCTCTGCACACTCGCGTTAAATCACATGCCTACAGTAGCGCACGTGTGCAGCTGGCTTTCAAGGAGCAACCACACCGGCGTATTCGCCAACGTAACGACAAGATAAACGATGCGTGAAGTTCGAGGCCGAGCGTGACATCGAGTGACGGCCCGATGCTGCGTGTTTCAGCAACTCCTTTCTCGTGCAACTTCAAACAACCAGTTCTTTTGTTGCTGCTGCGTTTCCCGTCAATGGCACGTCCCGTCGATGTTGCGACCGAGGTATTCATAGAACGAAACCAGGAGCCGTGTCAACCCTGTTGTTTCGAGGTGCCTGGCGAATTCGGATCTTGTCCACCACTGCTCGATTGACCTGCAACTAATTCGTGACAGTCAGACGATTAGTCTCTTAACCGGCTAAGACGAAATATATATCTCGTCGTGTCAAGTACGTCCTGTTGAGTACGACGACACAGGGACAACGTTAGCACGTGATACGCGATGTCAACGAACGATCCAAATTGTTGGGCGACGCTCAAGATTTACGAAGATCTCCGTAGAAACCTACGAAATGAAACTAACTAGTTGAGAAAGAGACTGCACAATCGTGGAAACGCTGTAGCAAACGATCTATACAGCCGATCTGTCTTGAGGAGATTGGACACAGGAAACACGTCGAATTATTAATCGTATTATTAATTACACGATTGATTGAGAACGATGTAAGAAACGGTACAGAAATATCTATGTGTTACCAGACCAAAATTAGAATTGCCGAGTGTCTCCGAGACAAATTGCAATTTTCGGAAAGAAAGATTCATAAAGGAAATGAAGTTTAATTTCTAGTCATTTTATGACGTGGAACACATTTTGCTAGTTACAGTTAGAATTACAGAACTATCCATAGCCATTACGTAACTAATTAGAATTACATAGGATTATGAATTCCATTTATTCCATAAATAAAATTAGAGGTTCGATGAGGAACGATGCTGGTTAAAAATAGAGCATGTTCACGTTCCACCGTAGTGAAACAAGAAATATCGTCATTCTTCTTACGTCCATTATTTCTGATTAAAGTGTAACTTTACATTATGTCAAGAGTAATAAAGGCTCATGCATAGTAAGCGAGCGAAGGCCAGAGCATCTGAATATTAAGAAAATGGCAGAATCGGCCTTGATTCAACGATAATACAAGCGAGTACCGGCGTATTACGGTACTCGTTTCGAACAAAGATCCATAAAACGAATAAGAACTAAAACAATATAAAAAGATTATATACTTTCTCCAAGTGTCGCGTTGTTATCGAGAAATAAATTCGAACAGCCCTTTTTCCGATATACGCTTTATGACACGGCTGTGGCGTTTAGTTTGGAGTCCCTGGGCGATTGCACAGATTGAACAGACACTTTGCACGTAGAAAGGTCGCATCGGTTCTTGCCACATACAGCCGTGTCATAAATTAAGGATTCCGAAGGGTCTCGACTGGCCTCGAGCACTGGCGTCAAGCGCTGGCGTCAAGTACCGGCGTCTCAATTCTTCAGACTTCAGACAAGGAATTTTCTCACGGTCACCGGAGAGGCCACTTTCGATGATTCCTCGAATCACCTCGCATCCGCTCTAGAAAAGGCAAATTTCTACGAGAGAGACGCGAAATGTCTGAGATGTACCGATTGGGTCTTGTTTTTTTAGAGAAGCGGGGCTTGAAGACCTTTGATCAAAAGGATGACTCCTGGAGGAGGTGGCTGAGGCAAGGAAGACAATTTTAGAGTTACAAGTTTAGAGAGTGCTAATTTTCAAACGACCAGATTTTTGGGTCCCTCTGGACGTAGCTTCTTACGTCCGTAATAAATTAAAAGTAGGAACGATAAGAATGATAAAACGAAAGAAAGGAACGATATTAAATGCGGTGTCTGCGAGCGTTCGGATGCTTCCATAAGCTTACGTTTAAGTATATTTGTCGTATGGCTAACCTGTCTCCATGGAAAGCTCTTCGAATCGATCCGGCAGATCCAACATCGCAGGTTCAGCGTGGCGGCCCAAAATCTCCGTCAGGGCATTCCTCCTTCCGGCTCTCCCAGTCGAAAGGAACTCTTTCGCCCTGTCGTCGCCCTCGTAGGAGCCTGGGCTGCGCGCACCACGCATGTAAGTTCCCGAACCATTTCCTGTTGCCCCAGGATCCTTCGTGTCGGGTACATTGCCGATCTCCGCGGGACTGATTGATCCCGATCGTCCCGGCGTTAGCATCTTTTTCAACGCTGCAGCAGACAGATCGAATTAGTTTAATCTATTCTTCCGGACACTTTGATAACGTTGCAAGACAAACCCGCCCAAATAACTAACTGCAACGCGTACGATTTAATTGAGATTCGTTTCCTATTTCGCGCACAATGTTATTAGTATCGTGTGTATAGAATTTTAGTACTGTTATTTGTATACGATTTTATTATCGTTATCTGTGTACAATGTTATTGTTGTTATTTGCATGCAATGTTATTATTTGCTACCTGTGCACAATGTTATTGTTGTTGCATGTACACAATCCTATTATTGTTGTGTGTACAATGTTATTATTTTGCTATGTGTACACAATGTTATCATTCTTATTTGTATATAATCTGGTTACTATTACCTGCACACAATGTTATTATTTTGCTATGTGTACAAAGACCCATTATTGTAATGTGTACACATTACTATTATTGATGTGTATACAATGTTATTATCCTGCTACGTGTACGCAAAGTTATCATTGTTATTTGTAAATAATCTGGTTACTATTATCTGCATACGATGTTATTACTTTGCTATGTGTACGCAATCCTATTATTGTTATGTGTACACACCGCTATTATTGTTGCGTATACAATATTATTATTTCGCTATGTGTACACAATGTTATCATTGTTATTTGTATAAAATCTTATTATTATTATTTTCATACAATGTTGTCATTCTTGTTTGTATACAATCCCGCTACTATTATTTAC